TGAATTCAATATGCACTGATTCTTATTTAAGCTACAAAAGTTATTTAGGTAAAAGCAGTGAGTGATTTTCTCTTTGTCTTTTGTTCATGGCCCCAAATATTGCAAGCTGTAGCGATATACATATTGTGATATGTACATTTGCGATATTTAGATAATTTCGATATATTGCACAGCCCTAGCATGTATGTAAATACCAATAATCCATGTACTCTTTCAATTAATATGTGGCCAAGACAATTCAAATTTAACATGTCATATCACCCTAATACCGTTTGTCTTTTTGTGTTTCAGCTTTTTCATAAAAGACTTCTCACAAGTTACTTCAACTGATGTATTCCCCTCAAGTGAACAATGAATGAAAAAACAGATGAAAGAGACTTTTGGAGGAACTCTTGTCAACTTTGAGTGCTTGTTTATCTTCCAGCAGATGCTCAGATGTCTCCTGCTTGCTGTTTTCTGGATTTCACCTCAAACTAAACTTCACTCATGGGCCTCTTTCCAGCCATGTCCAAGTTCATACGGAAGGGGAAGTGTCTGTTTCTTCTACTGTTGTGTCTTTGCGTTGTAGCGTGGATAGCAACATTGTCAAATGATGACACAGTTGAGCCTGTCCAGGAGGGATCAAATCCTCCTGAAGATAAGAGTGTCGAGGGGTTTGCTAAGCTGGAGCTGGAATCAGAGATGATGCAGAGCATAGAGGAGCGTGTAGAAGAGCAGGCTGCCAAAGAGAGCTGTCCAGAGCGCTCACCCCTGCTCCGTGAGTGTTGTTTGATTTTATCTTTTTTTGTGTGTTGATCTTAATGAAATGTTATGCTTGAAGTATAGGCAATGGTCAAAATTGGTTTAAATTTGTTTAGAAAGAAATGCTTCCTCCTGTAGAAATGTTTCTTCTGTATATTCTCAGAAATAAAGGGAGGAAAGCTGTCACTGGGACAATACCTTTTCAAAAGGTACACTTTTGTACCTTTTAGGTGCTAATATGTACCTATCAGGTACCAGTATGAACCCTTTAGGTACAAATGTGTACCTCTTGAAAAGATATTGTCCCAGTGACAGCTTTCCTGCCTTTGTTTCTGAGAGTGTAAAATGCAAAAGGCAGAATGTTCCAGCCTTTTATTTATTTTGATTGATGTACCATGTTTATTTATTTTGCTATTTAAAGGGGTCATATGATGCTGCTAAAAAGAACATTATTTTGTGTATTTGGTGTAATGAAATGTTTATGCGGTTTAAAGTAAAAAAAACACATTATTTTCCACATACTGTACATTATTGTTTCTCCTCTATGCCCCGCCTTTTTGAAACGCGTCGATTTTTACAAAGCTCATCGGTCTGAAAAAGCAAGGTGTGCTGTGATTGGCCAGCTATCCAGTGCATTGTGATTGGCCGAATACCTCAAGCGTGTGACGGAAATGTTACGCCCCTCACCATACTGTTGATGCCGTGTCCCGGCCGGAGCGAAGAGACAGAAACATTAAAACCCATTACAAACGAGGCATTTGTTGCATCCAGTGGGGACATAATTACTGATTATAATGACTTATACTGTCTTTTTACATAAAACATAAAAACATAAAACCCTGTCTGCATTTGTGATCAGAGAAATGACAAACAACAAGTGCTAACGTTAATCCACACTGCCCAAAACTCACGTTTGAATCATCAGTGGCAAATCCTTTAAATGAAAACGTACTTACAGACTGAGAGTCA